TGGGATATGCATCCACTTTAAAAAACTGATAGGAATATGAGAGTTACAGGAAGTTGGGCTTAAAGAATATTGGGTTTGAATTTCACAGACGAGGCAGTGTTCTACTCTTTAAATAAACGCTTTACAAACATGGTCTTTGTGTTGTAATCCTCTGTGAAGCACATCATCAAAGCAAAAGGGCTCTTGGTCACCTACTTGTGGATTATTATTTGTAACTAGTACATCATTTTTGACACATTCCTACAATCCTCAATAGCTATTTTTTTCTCTTAATTCACATTCCATTGTAATCATCTTTATTGTTGAAATGGAATTGTCAACTTGAAGATAATTTGAAGCATGGTTTTCTGCCATGTGGGTTCATAAATCTTAACAGTAAGAGCCAAGAGCCAAGTAGCTGAAAGCATTGTGAAATCATTGCATTAGGCTCCTGGAATATGTGAGTCGTCTTCCCACTTTCTCGTTAGTCTGAGGCAGGATGCCCGGAAAGAGTGTTTCATAAACGAGGCCTGTATTCTAATGCTGCCTTGTTAAAAACAACAACAACAACAACAACAACAAAAACAAAGTCACTGTAAACTTGAAAATCAAAATCCTGATTTCTCTCGTTTTGTTTCCTCGAGTTTCTTAAACCGAGTGCCTACCGCTGAGTAGGCATTGGAGTCACCTGGAGGATTGGTTAACCACAGACAGCTGGATACTGTCCTCAGCGTTTTTGATGAAGTAGACTGAGGGTGGGGAGGGGCCCAAGAACTGGGAATTGTAACAAGTTCCCAGGTTGCTAGCGCTGCAGGTCCAAGGACCACACACTGTGAATACTGTGCCACCTGATCTGCCCTGTGATTGCGGAGGCTCGTAGAAATGAATACGTCATGGGCTGCTTCCCTTTGCTGAGACTACTTTAAGAAAATGGGACTTAGATAAGCCATCCGTGGTGCAAAGCACAGGCAGACACCTATGGTTCAGGGTGTCTATACAGAACTGTGATGAAGACTGGAGAAAGAAAGCCAGATTGTTTTCTGTTTGTTTTTTTTAAATTAAACCTCTAGCTCCTTCATGATTTTGTAGAACCATTTTGTTGCCTTTTTCAGACTCCTTCGGGAGACATCTGAAAATGTGCTGCCTGAAGTTTTAAAAGCCAAAGAGGGAAGATATGTCTCCATTTTTTCCCTAGGTTATCATCTTTGTTTCCATACTCTCTTTCCCAGATGAGGGACCACATATTCAAGTGTCCTTTCCTCTTGCTTTAGGATATAATTAGATCCTAGACAATAATTCTCTATCAAGCTCTTTGAAGTCGAGACCCTATTTCCTATAGGCACAATGTTATCAATTTAGGTTTTTTCCCCCCCGGAAGGCCATTCCATTCAACACTCACTCAGTGACTTCATATGCCAAGCACTATACTAGATATTTAAGGAAAGACATGACCAAGATCGACTCAAATTCCTGCCCTTCCAAAGCCTGCATTCTAGCAGAGACAGACAGTAAACATAATACTTACAGCAACATACTCTATCTCTGATAGTAGATGCTATGGAAAGGAGGAAAATAAACCATGGTAATGAGGTTCAGGATGTGAGGGGCTGGCAGGGGAGAGTGGTATGTGCAATTGCAGTTTTAAATCGGGGAGCCATTTGAGCAAAGACCTGAGGCAGATGGGACTGTAAGCATGTATCTAGGGAAGAGCGTCACAGGCAGAGAGAACAGACCGTGCAAAGGCCAGAAAGTGAAAGTGGTAGTAGATTGGAGAGGTAACACAGAGGCAAGGTCAAGATCATATGAGGCTTGGTAGGTCCCTGAAAAAGATGTTGGCTTCAATCTAAGTGAAATAGGAGTCACTGCAAAATGGTGACTTTTTAAGAAGGATCTCTCCAGATGTTGTGTTTAGAATATACTGAGCAGGGCAAGGTTAGAAGCTGAGAGAGCCTGGTTACGAGACTACACCAGTAACCCAAACGAGAGATGACGTGGTGTGGACCATGGGTTGATCTGTAAAGGTGGTGAGAAGTAGTTTGATTCTGTACATATTTGGAAAGTAAAGTTCAGTAGGATTCCATGATAGATTGGACATAAAATGTTCAAGAATAAAGAAGGTTTTGGCCTGAGAAACCAGAGAGATGAAAATTGCTATCACTTGAGATGTGAAAGGCTGCAGGAAGAGCAAGTATGTGAGAAATGCTGGGATTTTGGTTTTGGACATACTGAGTTTGAAATGACTGTTAGACATCTGATGGGAGATGTCGCGTTGTTTGTGGATCACGCATACATGGGGCTTTGAGAACGTGCCGAGTATGTCTGGGCTGAGGGTGGAGTCGTCAGCATGTTGGTAGTAAAAGTTTTAAGGCGAGTGAGATTATCAAGTAGAGAAAAAGAAAAGGACTCAGCCCCGGGGGTCTCCAGCATTAAGAGGTCAAGGAGGGAAAAAAGAAACCATCAAGGAGAGACTGAGAAGGAGTGGCCATCAAAGTTGGAGAAAAACTAGGAGCGGATGGTGTCCTACAAAGCAGGAGAAGGAAGGATATCAGAGGGCAGTGAAAAATAGTGTCAGACGCTGCCGACAGGTCAAGCAAGATGAAAACTGAAAATTTACCACTGACTTTAGCAACTCGAGATCATCGGTAACCTTAACAAGAACGTATCTGGTGAGGTGGTGACAGTTAAAGCCTGGTCTGAGTAGCTGAAGAGAGAATGATGGAAGATGAATTGGCAGTAGTGGGGAAAGACACCTGCTGATGCTCCTGCAAAAGGAGGCGAAGAAATGGGACGGAAACAGGTGAGGAAAGTGGGGTCCATCTGAGGATGTGGTGGTGTTTGTGTTTGGGGTCGGAAAAAACAACAACGATTGTGTGCTGATGGAGATGATCCGGTAGAGAGGGACAGATTGATGTTTTAGGCACGATTGGAAGGATTCCTTAAGCAATTTCACTGGGTTGACAAATAGTGATAGCTAGTACCCAAGTGGAAGATCTGGCTTCGGGGGAGTCAGATATTTTCACCTGTGCTAACAGGCATGTTTGGATTAGTAATGCTGGTAGGGGAGGCAGGCGCAGTGTTGAGACCCTGTGTAAAATGCCTTTTGATTGTTTCCATTTTCTCCATGAGGTGCGAGCCAACATTGTCTCATAAAACATCAAAACGTATTCAAAAGAAAATAAAGCCCACATATATAAATAAAGCCCTCTACCAATATTTATCCAAAAAATAAAACAAAGCCAAACACAATATAAAAAAGTATGCAATAAACGTTTCAGTTTAGGAGCACACTAAGGAGATGAGATGACAGAGGAGATGTTATTAGAGACAGTGCTTGGCTCGCTCTCATGGGATTCAGTTCCTGCTTCCGGACATGTATGTAGAAATGGTTCATGCTTTGGTATTTAAAGGTTGAGGACAAAAGGAAACTCTCATCTTCTGTCCCCTAGAGAAAAAGCTCTTCCTGTTCCTGAAATCTCTAATAGAGTTCCTCTGGAACCTGGCTGTATTTCATACTCAAACCGCTATCATTCTGTCATTCTGGTTGATGAAAAAGAGATTATTCCGTCTTGCTGTAGAAATGCCAAAATGAAAGAACAAAAACCAACAAGAATATTCAAACCCAATTAAAAATGTTTTCTCTTCAGAACAAAATAAAACCAAGTAGAACAATTATTTCCTTTTTTTCAAGGGGAAACCCAAATGGTGGTAGCACGGTTTTAACAACTTTCTAGAGAATTCTAAGGACGCCCCACTCCTTCATTCATGGTAATCAGTTGTTTAACACTGAGCAGCTCCACTTATGAAGGAAGGAGAACGGTTTGGCTGGCAGAATAACTTACAAATATTCATTTCATGAATATTACATATATTCAATAAATTCATTCAATAATAACTACATAAAATATATTTTACACCTGACTTTAATCCAAAACAAAAAAGAAGTCAGTATCTGCAGTTTAATTTAAAAAAAAAAGGTTAATTTGGAAATGTCAAATCTCCAGCTCTTAACCTTTTTAGTTATTTTTTTCCTTAAGATGTGAAAGTGTAAACTCTCCACGCAGTCTGTACTGGACCACCTGAAAGGGAAGAAATGGTACCACAGCATCTAAATGTTTTTTCCTTTCTGTAACCTGAGGTAGAGGGTGGGAAGTTGTCCTTTGAGAAGGGGCAGGAGAACATCCTGGGTTTCCATTATAAAGTTTCGTATGGGAATAACTATGTGAAAATATATGAAAGATTTATACTTTTCAGTGGGCAGAACCAAAATTGCACGTCCACAAAGACATGTTTGTTTAGAACTGGAGAAACTGAAGCTAGTTGTAGCACAGAATTTGATGGCTAAAAGGGTAGGTAAAGATAGTAGTTACTAAGAGGAATCGTGATTTTTCTATTTCCCCAAAGAACTTAAAAATCTCTGTAGCCTCCATCTTGGATAACCCAGGTGCTCTTCCGCCCAGAGACAGGGGTCTACAGAAAAGATTCTCATGGGCGCAGAGGATCCTGGGAAAATCTTCCTTCCTCCCCATCCCAGGACTTGTTTATATAATGTATAGACTTCAGACTGCAAGTGAAACTTGATTTCACTTGTTTGACAATTTCTCTTTGCCCCATGGCCAGCTCACTTGTTCCTTTTGGCTGATTGCAGAAGGGCTGGGATCTCTCAAGAGAGGGAGACTAAAAAGAGCAGAGATCCAACCTGGCTTCCTCTAGCATTAGTCCACCTCATCTGAGGAGTCTGTGACTCATTGCTGAGTTTCCCCCACCCCCAGGCAACTTCCACCAAACCATAGCCCCCCAAATGTGTTGCTGAAACATTTTCCTTAGTGATGCAATCTTGTTCTGATATTGCAGGGAATGCTGATTTTATTAGAGTTCTTTCAGCAAATTTGTTTAATTGTTGCTGCGCTTTGGCAAGTGCTGAGTCACCATGAGCACCTCATCCTTCTTACTTTCCTTTTTTTTTTAAAGTCCTTCTTTTGTTAAGTTTAAAACAAGTCTCTCCTTTTTTTCCCCCCCAACAGACTTGACTTCGGAAAAGACTCAGAAGAGCCGGTAAACTTGGGTTCCTCACTTCTGCTCCTCATGTGAGTATAATTTATATTTCTAACTCTTATGCAAGTGCCATTAAACAGCGTATTTCCCCAGGTTTCTGGGGAAGAGCTGCTTGTTTGATCTTGGCAACGCTGGCACTCTTTTAGAATTAACCACGGAAAAAGTTGATGACACTTCCGCGCTTCTTGTAAAATTCATCTTTGGGGTAATTTTATGGTGTGTGTTTCCCCCCTTGAATGTTTGAAAGAGCTGGATTTTTCTGTCTCTTTGCAGAGCTTTCTGGCAGCTGTGTCTCATTTGCTTTGCAAGGGCATTGGAAGAAATTGCTATTTTGGAAGCTCCTTAACATATGCGATAATTGTACAAAACACTTTACAGTTTGCACAGTGCCTTCCCATTATTTTACCTAGTTATTTCTCATAGAAGCCTTGGACATATAATTTACATTTTGTTTCAGAAAGAGAAATAGAGGTACTGAATAAATCACAGAAGCTTGGCAGGACAATTTATCTCACTCTGGAATTAATCGATAGATTAAAAATCTCTTCCTTCAGATCCTTTAATACCTATGACCAGAAAGCCACATGCTTTTCGCCCTAAACGGGTAGACCAGCACACCCACTGTGCATCTGAGGAATACACACGCTACCTGGTCTTAGGTCTACAAAGGCCTAGCAAAGCGTTGTCTGAGTGATTGGACATTGGAAACCACTGTTTAGCAGCTTGTATTAAAAGTGATAAACAGGCTTCTTTAAAAGAAAAAAAAACAGATTTCTCAAAAAAAAAAACGTGATACAGTGGATGGCTAAAAGCGCCGGTTCTGGGGTCACACTGCCTGGGTTTAAATCCAAGCTCCTACTTTTATCAGCTGTGTGAACTTGGATGAGTCACTTTACCTTTCCCAGCCTTGTTTTTCTTATCTGCAAAGTGGGAGTGTTAGTTGCTACTTGGTGGAATTATTGTGAGCCTGAGTTGACTGAATTCAGGAAAAGCTTTAAGCCTGGCATCCAGCACACCTTCAGCCCTTCAGTAAATGTTAGCTGTCACTATGTTGTAATTCAAAAGGTGGCTACCGGGTCATTTTTTCTAAGGTTCATTTAAGTTGATTTGTTTCGTGAAATTGCTCACACGGCCCAGTCAAGACTGGAAATAATTGGTGGTCTTAAGAGGTAGTTGGTGGGGTAGACAGACCTTATACTTGTACTTCCTCTGCTCTTAAGAGCTGTGATCATCAAATCCTCTCAGTCCATCTGTCACTCCCTTTAAAACACAAAGCTGCCGTGTTGTTTGCCTTGGATAATATGGGATATTGACGGAGGGCCCCATTCACTAGGACTCCCCGTATTTCAGCCTCGCACTTTTGGCATGGTAGCACACTAGAAAGACAAAAGGTAGCATTAGTTTTCCCACAGCCCCAGGTGGAAGTAAGGTCTGGAGGAAGTAGCAGGGATCTGCCTCGTTGCGAATGTGGTCTCCTTGGTCTCCTTGGAATACAGATTGAGTCCCACATCTGCTTCTAGTTGGCTGGGTAAACTGGGCAGAGCACTTTCTCTGTACCTCAGTTTCCCCAACTTTAAACAGAAATTAAAATACCCACAGTCTGGAGAGCGTGCCCTGCCCTCCCCCCATTTGCTGAGACTTTCCCATAGCATATACCCTGTCCTGGGAACCTCCTCAGTCCCGGGGAGATCAGGGTGGTTGGTCACCCTAAATATCTGCCCCTCGTCTTACTGGGTTCACCATAAGGGCAGTGGATACAAACAGCCTTAGAGACTTCATGAGCTGAAGAGTATAGGTAACTGAGTTCTGAACACTTAAGGTCCCCAAGTAATGCTATGGGTTATTGAAAGAAAAACATGGCAATACAGTATATCACTTATTAGTTAAGAATAGCATATGTTAACTCTTGGCGCATCATTTTATAAACTGCTTAGAAATATGTAATGTGGCTGGCAAATTCATTAATGGATATACCATGCTTTATATCATTCTTACATGTTTAAGTACATGTAATTGAAAGTCCACAAAGGCATATTCATACAAAACAGTTAGGACCATTATTTTCAGGTCATGACAAACATAATTTGCATTGGAGAGACGTCATTTGAAACACCTTCACTTCCTGAACATTCTGTTTTGTACCCAACGTGTATTTTTGAAAGGATTACCATTTACAATAAATTGATTAGTGATTTGTCTTGGTATCTGAAAAAATAACAAAGGATAACAGGCCATTGCTGGGAATCACCTTGAGGCAGCATCAGTGTTCAGAAGATGTGCAAAAATATTAACCAATAAGCTCAAAGATGTGCAAAAATGTTAACCAATAAGCTCGAAGATGTGCAAAAATGTTAACCAATAAGCACACTCAGGAATTAGAGTCGTTTCCCAAAAATGATTCATTTAGTTTTCTTCCATGTCATATAGAACGTGCACTTGAGTGGACCATCACAATGTGCAAGTATGCATTTGCTTGGAAATTCAAAAAGTCTTTTGATTGGCTTTTATTTGTGATTTATCTCAAGACATCCAACCAGAATTCAAGCCAACATATGCCCTGTTCAGTGAGTCTTCTTGTAGACAGGTATAACAAGATAAATAATACGTATAAAATAATCATATGTGTAAAAACAGACAAGTTCAGTCAAATTCCGTTGCTTACACTAATAGAGAGAAGTAACAGTTACCTTAAAAGCTAGACTAATAAAATACAATGGCTTGTTTTCTGCTTGGCTTTGAAAATGGAACATGTACACCTCTGAGAAATTGTTAAGATCCTTGAAGACCCTGAACGTGTCACAGAGGTCTTCTGTATCTCCTCAGAGGATCTACTGCAGCCTTGGAGACATGACAGACACTCCGTAAAATCTCGTCAACTTATATTGAGTATTCTACGTATTAATAATAATTCAAAATAACATAGTGAAACCGGAGTGGAGGGGGCATGTTCTGTCATTCCGCATTCGACTTTCCCCCAAGGAACGAGCTGCTTTCCTCTCAGACAGAAGCAAAGAACTCATTCAGGAGTGGAGCTGAAGGCTGTGGAGTTACTGTTGTTTATGTTTCCCTGGACAGAGGGGAACTTATGTTGTCTTCAAAGGCCTTTTCTTCCACCGTCCATGACAGCAAGCCAGCGCAGGAAGAAGCCGTCTTCCTAGTCGCACATTGTACAAATGGGAACCCAGAAGAAGGAACAGTCTGCCCAAGGTCACAGATTCAAACCTTCCCAGATATTTGTTAACCCGAACTTAATTTTGCCAACTTTCACCAAGTGGAGCTGTAGGTGATTTTCTTGGCCTCTTTTTCAGTTGAGGAGACTTCCTCCCCCCAGGATCCTGCCGTCCCATCCGTCGTCACCCCAATGCCCCTTCTCCATAAACAACTCTGCTTCCTTCTGTCACTTGCCAATGGCATTTTGTTTGCTCTCAGACAACACACTTGAACCTGCAGTCCAAGGTCTCAAGCTAAAGGACTAGACTGTTCAAACTGCTATATAAATTTCAGGGCCATTCCTGCATTTCTGTGTAGGCTTGCAGCCTCTGATACAGGGATACCTAGCTCCGGGCTTATAAGATTACTCTCAGGCCTCGGTAACACAAGGCAAGGCTTTGCTGTATGGTTATTTAGCTGATGCTGCGAGCAAGCTGAAACTTGTGAGGACAGACATAAGTGGAAACAACCCGAGGTCATATCTTGAACAGAACCTCCAAGAAGACAGATTGCCTGTGGCTCCCAGAGCATCCTTCCCCCAACCGCAGTGGGGCAGACTGAAAGTAGAAAAATGAGTCCCCTATGAGGGCCATGTGAGGACGCAAAGATTTTTCAGAACTCAGCCCCACAGAGAGGAAATCTGCTTGATAATTATTCAGGTCCCTTTCCTTTAAACCTTGATCACCCTTGGCTCAGCGAGGTGCTGAAACTTATGCACCAGCGACAGGTGATTCTTACGTAAGAATGGAATCTCTGGTGTGATAAATTTGGTCTTGAGAAGCCTCTGCTTGGTCGCTGCAGATGGCAGTGTCATGATGGCAGAGTCAGAGAGCGGCGTCCTGCCGGGCTGTGGGCTGTCTGAAATGGCTACTCAGTTCAGAACTGTCTGAGCCAACTCCTTGAACGTCAAGGTCATGACCACGGGGCTCGGCCCGACTGTAGGGTTGACATTCATTCTAGCAACATTCTTTCCTAGTCCCTTAGACACTGCTGCTGACTCACCCCCACTCCAAAGTCCAAGGGGAATCAGGTAACCTGCGTCCTTTGTGAATATCTTTATAATTTGAGGTCTCTGTCTATCAAGACTGTGAGGGGGAAATCTGTGCTTGTGAAGAATTGCTTATACTGTAGAATTTGCATCAATCTGGTTGGTTTAGCCAAGGAGATATTTTTACCCACTACATCTCTGTCAGGTCCTGCCACTTTCAGGGCCCAGTTTCTCAGTCTTTGTTTCGAGGAGTCTGGAAATCCCCCCAAAATGCACGTACACACAAATTATAAACATACACGCCTCTTTCTAGGGAGAGCAGCTTTCATAAAGTTATTACAGAAGTCTGAGATCCAACAAGTGGTCAGAGTCACTCTTGTAAATGAAGGAAATGTTCTGAAGCAGCCCTCGGTCTCTTTCAGCCAGATTGATCAGAATTTGGCAACATAAGGCAAGCTTTGGAGTCAGATAGCCTTGATTCTGGCTTAGACCTTGGCTCTACATTTCCTGACTGTGCGAGCTTAGACATCACACCTCTGTGTGCCTCACATTATCTAGAGGATGGATAAAATGGGGAAGACGTCACCTACTCCATTATACTGTTGTGGGAATTAAATGAGAATATCTCTATAAATCTTGTGGTGTCCTGGCCTTAATGTTTACTGCTCGATCAACAGCAGCTACCAGTGGCAGGAGTCATATGGGACTTACGTCTTCAGAGCATGTGGGGTGAGGCCATGTGTCTTCTCTCTTGCTGAATTTTAAAATTATCTCCTGCCTTTGTCTAATCATTGAGTCACTAGCTGCTATTTCATATTCTTCATAAGCTTCAAC